TTACTAGAGAGAGGGAGAGCCACCAGGTCTGGGACTTGAACCATGGAAGTCCAATGCCCTAACCACCATCACATCTGCTTGCCCCCAAGTCTTAGTTTCTAAACACTTCTTTTCCAATAAAAGAAACCAGGGTTCCTTAAAGAAACAGGTAATTCTAGGATGAGGGTAAGGAAAATAGAAAATCAAAAGCCTGGGAAAACTGTCCAAACAAGATATTGGTCAGTAGGTAAATAGGTAAATTTTGTGACAGCCAGACAACAGAATGTTGCTTAGAGCTAAGAGTTCGTTCTTTTTTTTTTTTTTTTTGAGAGGTTTTCCACTACAGGGAGCGTGCGCTCGCCAGACAGAGACAGAAAGCAGGAAATCACCCCCTGGGGGGGATGGCCACGCCGCAATCCCTTCTCCTCCATTCTCCTCTTGGGATCTTGGGCACGCACACACACACGCCTGGTGTGAGTTTTAAGCCACCGGGTCCGGGACGCGAACCGTAGTCGAATATGTGGGAGTCCAGCGACATAGCCATTACGCTAACTGCTGGTCCCAAGAGTTCATTCTTTTGTAAATGGATAAAGGCATAAATAAATAAACATAAAGAAACAACAAATGATCCATATAAAACTTCAAATAATCCCCCTGGGGATTGTGCTTAACTCGATCTCCCACTATCCAAACCCCAACCTCACTAGACTTAGTGATTCACTACTGAAGAACAGAATAGGGAAAGGCAAAAACTACATTTTCATTAGAAAAACTTGGCAAACACTGCTTTATCACAGGAAGGAAGGTTAACATCCTTATATGGCTATCCCGTACCCCATGATATGAGAGGCGTACTTCGCCTTGTTATATCCTTCCAAAACTATGAAAGTGTATCTTTCCATATACTCCCAGTTGAATCATGAGGAAAACATGAGACAAGATACATTCTACAGGTCATGAAAAATAAAGATTGAGGGACCAGCAGTTAGAGTAATTGCTATGTTGCTGGACTCCCACATAGTCAACCACGGTTCGAATCCCGGACCCAGTGGCTTAAGCTCCCGCCGGGCGTGTGTGTGTGTGTGTGTGTGTGTGTGTCCAAGATCCCGAGAGGAGAACGGAGAAGGGATTGCGGTGTGGCCATCACCCCTGGGGGGTGATTTCTCGCTTTCTGTCTCTTTGTCTCTCTCTGTCTGTCTGGCGAGCACACGTGCCCTATAGCAAAAACCTCTCCAAAAAAAAAATAATAATAATAATAATAATAAAGATTGAGATGGACACCCAGACTAGAAAAGACTGGGAAAATACGACCACTCTGTTTATGTGGTATCCTGAAGTGGGCAGTAGAAAAAGAAAGATCGTTATTAATAGAAAAACAGATGAAATTCAAATACAGTTTAGAATCCACTTAATAGTGATGTTCTAACACTATCCTCTTAGTTTTGACAAATATATCACAATAAGGGAGAGTGTTAACAATGGAGAAACTCCGTAGGGGTATACGAAAATTGTGCACCACAGGTGCCAGCAGTTGGCATGGTGGTTAGGGCGCTGGACACCCACATGGCTGACCATGGTTCAAGTCTGAATCTGGCAGCTTGTTTTCTCACTTTCTCTCTCTGGTGAGTGTGCATACCCTGTAGCAAATAATAATAATAATAAATATAATTAAGTATATAATTCTTTTAAAAAAATGTGTACTATCTATGCAACTTTTATATATATCTTAAAATTATTCCAAAATAAAAATATTTTAAAAATGACAAAAAAGTCAACTTTAAAATAGAGCTATCAACCCACTGACCTAATTTATGTACATATATATTTGGAGAATGTTAACCTTTTAAATTTAACTAACATTTACATCATTTAAATTCTGTTTAAGGGGGCCAGCAGGTGGCACAGTGGTTACGGTGTAGGACTCCCACATGGCTGACCACGGTCTGAGTCTGGGACCTAGTGGCTTGCTTTCTCACTTTCTCTCTTTTTCTGTCTCTCTCTGGTGAGCACATGTGTCCTACAGCAAATTAAAAATGATAATACTTAAAATAAAATAATTCTTTAAATAAAATGTCTGTTAAGTAAAATTAAAGAAAAAAGCTGAGGGTAGAGGACTAACAATTTCTTCTTGGAGATTAAATTATGCAGTAATCAGAAACATGATGTACTGTACATTAATAACCCTGGAACTATGCATAATAAACTAGGAACATCTGACTGACATTATTAGAAATACTTCATCATACATTAAGAAATTCAAAACACAGTATTCCACCCTCACTTAATCTCCTGTCACGTCTCCCTGTACACTGCGTTCTGTGGCTCACTGCACTGTGCCAGGGAAGAGGTACATTTAACACACGCTAGTGGTGCCATGACAGAGAGACAGGTGTTTGAGAACTTTACACTTTTCACGTATCATAACACTTCTGAGGGGGAGAATTCTTTCTTCTCACTTTATCAATAAAAGAAATGAGTACCAAGAAGTTGTTAAGAAAGGTTATGCAGACCGTGGATATATGGATTTAAGGACAGCCTTATGAAGGTGCTATTCTTTCCGTGTAACATGAGGACGCAGACTCAGTCAAAGATTCTTTAGGCCCAGTCACACGGCACAGCAGCAGAGTGCTACTGTGTGATACTGGAGGCAAGATGGGAGGCCTGGGGTTTGGATCCCAGGTTGAACTGAATATATCGAGTGCTGTGTGACCCTACCTGACTACCTGGGGAAAGGATTGCAGCATGACAATGTCTCTGTCTCTCTCGTGAAACAGACAAGTAAACTTAAAAAAAGAAAAACTTCTTTAACCACTTAGCAGAAGGCACTTGTTCTGTTCCATTATTCTATTTACTATCAAATTAAATGACGGATTAACTGATGCTACACATTAATTTGTAGATTTTGGTCCAGAAGAGTTATCAATAATTTCTATCAGATAGAAGAGATAATACTAAAGGTCAGGGTTTATCTCTTGGTTGGTCTGTAGGACATTAGCCAGTTTGAACCTAACCTAGCACTCTTACTCCAACAATTATTAAATTACCCATGCATTCAGAGTTCTTCAGGTGCTTTTTCTAATAGACTTACTATTTCCCTTGTTCGCTCAGTAACTGATAAATTGAATAAGATCTTTGACAGATGCTCACATCATATCTGTATGAGTCATATTTTTAATTTTGTCATACCTTTCATTTTTAACATTATACTGATGGGCATGGGAACTTCTCCATGATATGTCTCACATGGCCTTTACCACGTTCAGCTCTGCAAACCCCACAACCTCACAGTGCTATTATGATGGCAGTTTTTCTGCATAATATAATGATAACTGTGTTGATTATTATTATTGGAACCATTAAATAATATCTTTCTGTCTTAAAAATAGCACAAAAAGAAACTAACCTGTTAAAGAGCATCTTTATTCCACTACCGACTGCAAACTACTAGTGAAATATGTACAAAAATACAACTGTATTTCTTTATTTCTTGAGTTTCTTCACCTGAACATTTAGAAAAATTTCTTCAATGAATGAGACAGAGAGAGAGAGAGAGAGAGAGAGAGAGAGACAAAGAGAGAGCATTCCCAATAGAGTGCCGATCCTGCGCCTGCCCTAGCTCCAGGCCTGGGTAATAGGCACCCTGGGCTTGGTACACTCAGGGAAGTCTCAAGTCCTGCCTATGCAGCGACCTCAAAGAACATCACAAAAAAAATGCTGAACCACGGCAGGCCAACCACTCATCTGTGTATTTTAAAAACAACGAATAAAGATCCCTTGCATTTCACTTCAGCTATTGTCTAAAGAAATTTTTAAGGTAGCAATTTTTTTTTCTAAAGTGAAAGTTAACTATTCTTTTTATTATTTTTTTTAAGAATTATTTTGTTTAACTTCATTGATTTATTTACTTTAACTTGACCAAAGAGGGACAGAGTGAGAGAGGGAAAGCGAGAAAGCAAGCCGCCAGGTCCAGGACTCGAACCACGATTGACCATGTTGGAGTCCAGCGTCCTTAACTACCACGCCACCTGCTGGCCCCTAAAGTCCCAATTTTAAAGTCCCAGTCCCTATATGAGAAAACAAAGATGTATAAAGGAAGCTTAAAACTTGTTGAATCAGCATTCAGAAATTTTCAACAGAATCACGGAACATAAGATTTAGACAGGACTTTGAAGGATGTCTTCTCCAAGCCCATTTGAATGAACAGAAGGTGGGCCTAAAGGAATACAGTGACTTTCCAGAGGTCTGCCAGTGGCTTAAAATTCCCATGATCTAATTTAAAAGACTTGCTAATGTGCGGTACACCTTTTTGAGTTAATTATCTTTAACCTCCAATTATTGAAAAGATGATTCTCCCACCTGTTCCAGGTACCACTTTTATATGAAATGGACTAATACTTGGTTTAGGTGTGAACTATGCGTTCCTTCTATGTCCGTACATAAGTAAATGTACTTATTTAATTCTGTCTTTAATTCTTTTTCTTTTTCTTTTCTTTTCTTTTTTTTTGGAGAGGATTTTGCTATAGGGTGCGTGTGCTTGCCAGACAGACAGAGAGAGACAGAGAGACAGAAAGCGAGAAATCACCCCCCAGAGGGGATGGTCACGCCACAATCCCTTCTCCTCCATTCTCCTCTTGGGATCTTGGGCACGCACGCACACGCACCTGGCGTGAGTTTTAAGCCACCGGGTCCGGGACGCGAACCATGGTCGACTCCGTGGGAATCCAGCGACATAGCCATTACGCTAACTGCTGGTTCCCCCCTCTTCAATTCTTAAACCATAACTGGTAATAAAAAAGAATAACTTCATATTTTCAGTGTTGACATTTCTCATTAAAAACAAAAGTATAGACCAACGTGATTATTTTTTCAGCAAGCAGTTTGGATATTTTCAAGTGGACTAACAATAAAGACTAATTTTAATTTTTAGATCTCAGTTTTGAGAAGGGAGGCACTATTTCATTTTCACCCAAACCACAAGCAATAAAAGCAAAGGGAAAGCCAAAAAGAAGAAAATTCTGTACCCTGACATCACTTCTAGATGAAGTTGTCCTGAGACAGTTAAGAAAGCTGGAACACTGAAGAAACACTCCTCAGGCACCTTTATTTTTCTTGAAGGCTGCAAATGAAAAACACAAGCCACAAAAAGCTATGACATGCTCTGCTTTCCCTTTCACATTCACATACATGTAGCAATTAAAAATAAAAATGCAATAAAAGCTATGTGGGAGAACAGGTCATTCTCATGAACGCAAAGGCAGTTCTCAGGACACACCTACATAAGAAAATGCTTACTTGGCAGGTGAGTCCTTAAGTCAAAGTAGTTTGCCCCATTTTCAAAATATATGATAACCAAAGGACAAAGTACTTTGTCACAAATACACTTAAAAATTATAATAGGAAGCATTACACACTCTCTTAAAATTCTGACACATAATGGAGACTTAATCTTCTCAAGGGAATAGTCTCTGGAACATCTGTTGTAATATTATTATTGTTAACATGTTAAAACAATAATGCTTTTAATATAGCCTCTTATAAACACATAAACTTTGAAATACATTATTTAATTTTCACTTCAACTCAGAGGTAGGAAGAGCAGAACTCTATCTTTTAAAAGATGCAATAAGTAATTGGACTTTTATGAACTTACAATATAGACAAGAGTGGTTATTCCATCTGTAATGGGTAGAAAACAAGCCTGCCAAAATTTATGAGTTGAGTGAAAGAACTACTTGAAGTCCAAACACAACTTAAACAGTGTAATTAAGAAAGCTTCCAGATCAAGTTATGACTACCACACCAAGTTTTAAAAGACACTCCATTATTAACTCTCATATTTCTTTTATATATACGTGTGTGTGTGTATCTTATTTAACTTCATTAATTGCTCTAAAATATTGTATATCACATAAGGGTGTATTTGTATGAATAAGAAATGCAGTACAAAAACTACCAATGGAAAAATTGCAATAATTGGGACCAGCAGTTAGTGTAATGGCTATGTTGCTGGACTCCCACGTAGTCGACGGCAAATTTATCAGACTACCATACTTTCCCTTTCCTTTCCTTCTTCAGCCTATAATTTTTGTTAGGTGTTTTATCTCAACCTCACTTAAAGTGATTTACTCCCTGTAAATTAAACACACACACATATACACACACACACACATATCACTGGTATTTTATGAGGTTACATATGTAATAAAGGAAATAACAAGGTTAGTAAAGACGGTGCCTTCCAGAGGGAGAAGAAAGGGAATGGGAGTTGGAATTGAAATAAAGAGGAAAACAATAAAACAAGAAAAGGCAATGCAGGATTGTTTTGTCAGCTTGGCGTTACGACTCTTCTAAAGCTGGGACCGTTTCCTAAAATTTTTTGTATAGTTCCAGGTTCCAGTTGGTCAAGAAAGGGTTTTAAATGAAATCTTGGGAAGAAATGAAGTCATTACTCTGAAAAGATTGTGGCAGTGTGACACAGTGACACACACGCTGAGGTAGGCACCTAGTGACCTCTAGATTTCAGCTTGTCATTCTTACCACTGACTCCGCTGACCAACAATGGCTCTAAGGCCACCACCAACAGCTTGGCTACAGATATTACAGGGTGGATTGAGCTGGACTAACTGCATGAATGGCTCCAATTTTCTCACCTCTCTGTGCTGGCATCCTTTGGCACAGCACACACTCCAAGCTTGGCCATGTGACTCATTTTTGCCAAGAGTAAGAAAACTGACACACAGTGGCTTGAAAAAGTGCTTGTGCATTTTCTGTTTTTTTGCATTCTCTCTAGAACCTCTAGAGAGAATGCCACCAAAGATAATCATGACCTGACTAGCATAATGAAGAATCTAAGAGACACATGTAGAACAAGTAGGTTACCTCAATGAGGCCGTTCTAGGCTGGCCAGGCCCGAGTCTACTCATCTGCTGACCAAACCTGACCCAGATCTATAGCAGCACCCTAAGTGATCCACAGGCTCCCGGGAGAGAATGAATGCTTTTCTTACATAGTAGTTTGAAACAAGGGACTTGCAAAGACCAATGAATATAGTGTGCCAAGAATGAAGATTATGTTTAACTGTATTCCTAAAGTTAAAAAAAAAAAATACACATTCAGTGAGGCCAGCAGATGGTGTAGTAGTTAAAGGTGTTGAACTTCCACATGGTCAACCGTGGTCCAAGTCTTGGACCTGGCGGCTTGCTTCTCACTTTCCCTATCTCTGTCTGGTATACTTAAAAATAATAACAAATAAAATTAAATAATTCTTTAAAAAAATACAACTTCAGGCCCAGCTGTGGTGGTACAGGTGGTAGGTGCTGCTGCGTGACACTGGAGTTCATATGGGAGGGCCAGGTTCAAATCGGTGGACCTGAACATACCAGGTATACCTGTGATCTGGGTTGGTTGGAAGGTTTGGGAGTGGCGGTCATGGCATAGTAAGACCCTGTCAAAGGTACCATATCTTCCCTGAAATAAATGCATAAATAACACTTTTTTTTTTTTTTTTTTTGCCACAGGGCACATATGCTTGCCAGAGAAGGGGGAGGGGGGAGAGAGAGAGGAAAAGTGAGAAATCACCCCTCTGGGTGTATGGCCATGCTGCAATCCCTTCTGTCTCTTCTCCTCTCAGGAGCATTTTGGGCATGCACTCACACATGCCTGGTATGATTTTCAAGCTGCCAGGTCCAGGGTTCAAACTGTGGAGGCCCATGTGGGAACTCAGTGTCTTTACCATCATGCCAGTGGCTGGCCCAACACCTATAAGAATTTTTAAAAGTACAAATGGTGGAAAATGTGTTTTGAATATATGGTTATAAGTTTAAAATAGCTTAGAGGGAATTTTTCTTTTCTTTGGAAAACTGAATTGTGAAGAGTATAATTTTATTTTCCTCCTACTCGTTCCAAGTCACAAACACATAATTTGTTCTTTCTTATTACATAATTCTATGCAATTAATTAATTTATGTACGTTTTCCTAGCCTGGCCTCTCAACGTCATCTCCCTGATCCTGATATCCATCAGACAAAGAGAAAGACTGATAAAGAAGGTAGGAGAGCATCAGAAATATAATCTTATCAGTGGGCAAAAAAAAAAAAAAAAGCTTTGATTCTACTT